GACTTTAATAATATAATATTGTCTTTACGATTCAATTCTACTTTACCTATTTTACTTCACTCTTAGTAGTCATAAATCAAAAGAGTAAAGTCCGAGCCTCCCTAGACAATCTCCATCTACAGAAATGAATTTTGGTTGGTCTAGATGACGCTGAAGTTTATCAGGTTGTCTCCACTTAACAGAGTCATCCCCACAGCTACAACATGTCTCGAAACCTAGTTGTAACACTCCTCGAAGTCTGTTGGCTTCTATGGTAGTGTCCCTCAGAGTTCTAAACTCTTCTGGTTATTGTAAAGTGGGTGCAAATGTATTATTTTCTCGTTGAGATCCTTTGTCATTCGATACCATCTCTTTGTATGAAAATGTCCCATTACTTACAGCCCATGCCAAAGATGTCTCATCTTTGAAGCCTTATAGCCTTCTGGGTGGTGGACTGATTTACTCCGTTCTACTTCCCAGACCTGGTTGAAGGTCCCCTCTCACGAAACCTAGAAACAGGATCCAGTTAGACAGATGGCAGTGATGTATACGATGTTATTCTTACACCTTTAATTCTATGACATTATAGTCACAGGATTCAACTGAAGTTGATATGTATAGTGACATGCAGGCCCCGTAAGTGGGCAGGAGAGGGATGTTGGAAGCCATGGACTCCAATTCTGAGAGTGGTTACCCTACTTAGGGTGGTTCCTAGGTATCAGATCCTAGTATTCCTAACATGGGATAGATATATAGGTGGGCAAGTGGGAGGGTACATACTAATACAAACAGGAAATTTTTATAAGATTAGGAGGGATAGAATTATAGGTGCACAGCTGGGAGGGCTTATTCAAGTGTAGATAGGAGAAAGCCACTTGCTTTCATGCATTGCCTTTTTGGTAATCTGCAATGATTGCATGGCAATAAAAATCTCAAAAGAGAAGCCATAGTACTGTAAATATATGTTGTTTTCTACAACATAGATTTACTTTACAAAGGCTACATTGATCCTAGTAGTATTAGTGTACTGATTTAGAAATCTAAGATGTAGAATAGGTCTAATGGAAGTCATGTTCTAATAAAATATTTACTTTTCTCACTGCTTTCCCCTTTACTCACTTGTTCATCATTGCGAATACACATACTATATACAGGCGTCGAGCAAGTTCTCTTCAGTATGATAACAGGGAGCGCAACACCAACACCTCTCCAGTGATACATTTTCTGTTTCGAACGCCCTTATTCATCATATTGTATCATACGCAATCATCGAATTTAGTTCCAGGGTCGTCCTCAAATCGGTTCTTGCACTGATGGTCATTTAAGACCCTATGTAGGGTACCCTAATACCCATCAGCCAGCCCCGAGTATCGGAGGATTTCTACAAGTACTCGTACGATGCATGATGGCCGGTATGATATGATACCGGAACTCCAAATGAGGCTCCTCATTGACTTAGCTTGGCATTGCTACAATAACCATTCTGAAGTAAGCTCGGGACATGCTCGAAGAAACAAGCTAAAAGTTAGAGGCACTCGATGGCCCTTCTACACCATTATGGCGGTTCAACGACTTCCAACGGTCCAACACAAAGACCTTATAATGTTTTTCTCATAGCTGGATATCCCATTTGGATATAGTCTACTCTAAATCTTGGCAAATAATTTCCCTTTCTCTCGAGACATCGCAGGTCAATACCGCTGTAAAACAGCCTTTCTCCCCAATCACTTCCTACTCCCGTTCAATCGCATGAAACCCTTTTTACCTATAGATCTTTCTATCATAGCTAACGAATTTCACCCCCTTAGTCCACTTTCGGAAGGGTGGAACCCCCGCCTCTTGCCCGACAATAGCGCCTCAGACTTCCCAGTCACGTGATCCTGCACCTCAATCTCCTCTTCCAAACAGCTCTGTCCGATTGGAGTGCCGAGCTAACTACCGTATTCTACCATTATCGCAGGTCACTCTGTTTCGCCGATTCTACAGTGTTGTGGAAAATATTGAATAGAATGATGATATGAGATACCAAGAAGTGATTGATTGCTTGAGGAAAACTAGACATCCTGGCTCCTTCAAAAGGAAGGGCCTTAGACCCTAACTATCTATCATTGAGGGCGAGACAAGATAAGTCGAGTGAAAAATAATAAGGAAAAAAAAGAGTGGGAGAAATACAAGGAGGTATCTTCAATAGTGCAGGAGGTCTAGATGTGCGATAAGGTTTGATGTAAGGAGGAAAGGTAGTGCGGGGAGTATGTTTCAACATACGGGTTATGTCTCGTTTTCACTAGCTAAAACACACAACTACGAGCATGTCAAAGAATTAAGCTTACTTGATTTAGCAGTCCCACTTCGAGCGATTTTGTTAACAGTCTTGAAAGTACCGAACATAATTATGATAAAAAAAAAAACTCCTACCGTAGCAATCACCAACCCAGCACAAGGATACCAAAGCGAAGACACTACCGAAAAAAAAAAAGGGAAGAAAAAAATAAAATAAAACCAATACAAAAAGCGAGAAAATCATGAATAACACCACAATCTCCCTCCTCTTCACCGCAGCAATACCCGGAACAATAGCTCTGCTCACCCTCCTCAACAAGCTCTGCAACGCCTACGAGCAAGTGATCGCCAGCAGCTCGGTAGCGCGGGTCCGGCATGTCGATACTGTATTTCGATGGTTGATCAACTTCAGGACCCGCGTTCTGAATATAAAGATTGTAAGCTTGAAGTACTTGGAGTGGAAGGGGGATGAGGTCATCTTCCATGGAAGAAATATCTATTTAGGAGGCTATCGAGATGAGTGTATTCGGATTACGATTAACGAGGGAGACGCTAATGAATAGGGCTCGGGAGGAGGGAAAGACTTCGGGGAGGGGTAGGTGTGTCATTTGGGAAGTTTTGATTTCTCTGTGCTCTCGTGATCGCAAATTTGTTGGTTCATGTTTCTTTTGAAATGGTTTAAGGGCTCTTATGTCATGGGACTAAAGCTGTTAATGTTTGTATCATATTTTCTTTGCTAACTTATGATATGTGAAAATGACGGAAAATTCCCCCTCATTGTCCCAACTATTAGGTTTAGAGGTGAAGCTGGACCACCGTTCCCCGGAACTTCATTGTTCACTAAGGGACTATCCCCTTCGAAATGAAAATTTCGTGTTGCTCTTAGATTTTAGGCCTAACGGCACATGAAGGTGGTAGATCGAGCTGAGGTCCCCCAGTACCGACGCAAGAACTTATAAGTGTTCATAATCTAACCGTGGTCAGCGCTGGAGAAGTCACCACAGCTCAGATACTGGAGAAACCCTTAGACTAGTTATCCCTCCCACGCCTAAAGTTTAGGGGGGGTATAATAGTAGCCCGAATGTCCGTTGTTCCCCCGGAACTGTTCTAGCGAGCCTTTATCTCGTATCCAGCTGCGGTGATTCCCAATCACCGGATTTATAAAGAGAGAGTGAGAATCGGTGACCAATGTATTTAATATCTCACCCCCGTGGACTGTCGCGTCCCGTAGGATTTGCCAAATTTTAGAGAAAACCAGAAGAGAAAAAAAAACAATCCAGACACATAACTTATCTATCAGCAGTCAACTTGGGGCAGGCTTCTTTGCGACTTCCCTCTCACCTACATTTCTGATATTCTTTACAACGACTGCCTCTAGACTACATTCTGTCTTGTCTGGGATTCCATACTCACCCCGGGATATCCAGTGATGCCATCTATACTGGGGCTTATGAGCATAATCACTACTGTTCCTCCGGGACGCTTTTCCACCTCACCCCGGACACGGGCTCCCTTCCCCAGAGCGAGTCTGGGACCTTCCAGACACTCACCGGAGCGCCAATACATATAAATAAATCTTCACCGGAAGGACGATGTGGTCTGTATCATCTCTACAATATAACCCCCCGAACCCGAAATCGTCGCCAACCTATCGCTCTATTCCGCCACCGGAAATCAAGCACGCAAAAGCGGGAAAAGAGGCTACATTAGGAAAGTTGCCGGAGCCACCGCTAAACGGCAGTGGGGGCGGAGTGGCGGCTGACGTGGTGTTGTGGGTTTGGTTGGCGCACGGGAGATCACTCGGAGTTGGTGCAGCATACTTGCCAGAGGTCATGTACAAGCCGGAAATTATATCATACGACAGATAGAACAGTCTTAGGCACATCGTGGATATGGCGACCAAGCCTGGAACTCTCTTGGTCTCATCGATACCGTTCCATATACCACTCTGCCTTCCAACAATTCGTGGTGTCTATATATTACACCAACGACTCTTACCATTTCCTAGATCCTGGTGTCCCAAGTATCCCCGCAGATGGCCAGACATATTCACACCTTCCATCACATCGAAGTGATACTCCTGAAACAGCAGCTTTATCATGCCATTCGGTCAGGGAATTGAAAACGGCTGAGGCGATCACGGGGCCAAACTCCTAATCCTCGATATCATAACACCCCAAGTGTGGCAACTCTCGCCGGGACGTATGATAACTATTATATATGACTAACATCTGGGAGAAATAAACCCTTTCTTTTCCCTCGTCTCAACTGAAGACTGAAAGGGAGAACCTTTGCGCACCGTTTCCTCCCCTCACCCTAGCAGAGAAAATTCTAGTCCTCGAAGCGCGATTCTCAACTGCTCCAGTCGTTACGGTACGTACGCTAAGTTACCGGATGATAAAAGAGATAAATTGGCGTCTACGAAACAGCACCCCACACCGCTCTCATGTCCTAAAGAATGGGGAGGGGAAGGAGCATTATGCCGAAAGCAAATAAAATAGAAATAAAGACAGGTGAAAGGCTACAAACGGCCATCTCCTCATTCCTAAGAAGGAAAAAAAATAAATGATATGATATCATACAAACGCCATATAGTCCCAATCCATTTCTATCCCAAACCAATCCCATCAAATCCATAAACGCATCCTACCCAAACGAGAAAAGAAATCCCCCCAAGTTAAATGAGAAAGAGAAATGAGAAAAATGAGAAAAATAGACAAGATCTAAAAGAACGAACAGCTTCAAACAACCGTATAACTAGTAATACTCGTCCCAGACTCGCTCTCCGCCCTATTCCTCCTTTTCCTAGCAAACATCATTTTCTCCGCTTCCGCATACATCCCTCTCAATTCCCGCTCCGTCTCAGCACTCCTGGCGCCCACCTCTGCTCCGCCTCGCACAATCTTTGCTTCAAGGGTAATAACGTCTTCGACAAAATTCTTCATCTCGCTGACGGCCCATCCTCTCTTCCTTGCGAACCGTTCGACAATATTTTCCATACTCTCACCAGCCTTTCCAGAGCGCGCAGCGCAGAGGATGCGTTGGAGGAGTACACCGCATTCGTCTGTAAATGCGGGTTGGGAGGTTGTTGCATAGGATAGATCTAAAGCGCGGAGGAGGGTCTGGGCTACCGGGGGGCCGAGTCCGGATTCGCGTTTTATGGCGGAGAGTTTACGGAGTATACAATATTGCGTTGTGGTATCGGCCAGGTGCATTGCCAGGGATAGGGCGACGTTGAAGGTTGAGAGCGCAAGCTCCCACGCACGGAGGTGCGTGTGGGCTAGGGCTGCGAGGAAGGTAATGTGCAAGAGGGTAGGGAGGTGGTGAGGGAGGAGGAGTGGACTTGGCGGGAGGAAGGCGACGACGTATTCGCAGTGGGAGAGGGTTGCGGTTAGTGATTGTAAGGTGAAGGTTTGCTTTGCGAGGAGGATGTGTGTTGGCAGTTCGAGATCTCGGAAGGAGTGAGTGCGAGTTGTTGCAAGGAGACTTTGGAGGATAGGGAGTGTTGATGGGGGATCGGAGCGGGCTTGGTGAAGTCGTAGGAGAGCGGGGTAGGCAGCAAATTTCTCCGAGGACAGCTTTGGAAGCTGGGAGGGGAGGACATTGTGAAGGGATGCCGGGAGCCACGGGAATACCGAAAGAAACACATACAGGGGACTTCTGCGAACAATCTCATCAAGTCCCGAGTAGATATTCGAAAGCTCGGTCTTGAGTGACAACCGCATCTTATCGCTAAAGCGCTCTGTTAGGGGAACTTGCACGGAAATCGACTGAAGCCTGATAAATTCCTTTGCAAGGGTGCACCACTGTGCATCATGCTCTTCCTTCTTTTTCTTCTTCGGATCCTGGTATTCGGCGAGGAATCCTGCCCATGGTTTCCGAAATTTAAGCCCGTCGACCATACCATCCTGGACAGCAACGCTCCTCTGGACAGCACATTGTTCGCCAAGCGCAGAGAACCTCTCCAGACACCCTTCTATATCCCTGCCCATGCCAATAAGCTCAGCAGAAGTCTCCACTTGTTTCTTGAATTTGGTGATTGCATCTCCCTCAGCGTGATACTCGCATAGCCAACTTGAGGCAAAAAGTGCTGCCACCAGAGCTTTCTCGTCAATCTTTCCATCCTGGCCAGCTTTCTCCTTAAGTTCCTCGAAACGCTTCAGTATTTGAGCACAAATCTCTTTCACTAGTCCAACTTTCAATTGCAGGTTTTGCATCGTTGCGATAGAAGCGTATCGGGCGAATGCATGCACTGGGAACGAAGAAAAAATAGAAGCGTGATCGACACGTATCAACGGGGTCCATATCGCCTCTAGGAAGTTATTCTCTTCCAGCTCCAGCTCTTCTTCGACGTCAATGTATGTCTCAACCGGCGTCTGCGACCAAAGGAAACTTCGTTGAGAGTAGTAGTCTAGAAAGGCTTGGGTGACTAGAGGGTAATGAATGCCGTAACTTGAATTCATAAGTTTTCTCTCGTTTGATACTGTCTGGCGAAGAAACAACGTTAATAGTGGATGGATGTGGTAAGACGTTGCAGAAGAGTCTTCTTGAAGAAAGTCTTTTGTTAATAGGTCTCGAACAATATACCTGTACCGGGAAAGCAGGCCGGTGGAGGAAAGAATAGTAGCCACTCGCTGATTCTCCAGAATTGACGGTGGTCTCGACAAAAGATATTGCATTGTGCTTGCGTCAGCAGCGGTCGGGAGGACCCTGTGGTATAGTAGGTAATGAAGATACGGGTTGATATCCTTGGGAAGGCGAGTGCGAAATGGCGCTAGACAGAGCAGTAGTTGTTTGGAACCGCTATCCAGTCTAGAAAGAAACGAAGAAAGACTTCGTAGTGGCTTAATTGGCGGCGCACAAGTGAGGATTGTTTCACTTTGTAAAGTATCAAATAATAGGTCCGGTAGTGCCGCAGGACTCTGTGCGACTCTGGGAAGAGTGAGTTCCTGTGATTAACATTATCAGTGTCAAGCAATATTATTAAGAGAACGAATTAGGAAGGAGGCACAAACCATGACCAGAGGATTAAAATCACAAACTTGAAGCAACATCTCCAAGTAATAGCGATTCTCCACACCCTGAAACCTTCTTCTATCCCCGCCATGCTTCTCCAGGATAGTTACTGCGAGATCAACAGCCTGGTTACTACAATCTATCAGCATTAGCAACTCACTTAAGTGAAGCGAATATATGCTTACACGTCAAGCCTATTCAAATGATACGTGCCGAATCTTACGAGACTGTCGTTAAGCCAACTCTCTTTTTTATTCCCAACAACAACAACCACACTTTTACCCCCATGCAGCATCTTTAGGAACTCATTAACCTCCCCCCTAAACACCTCATCATCCTTTATCTCCGCTTCGGAACTTTCGAGACTGTCTAGAACAATCAAATATGGTCTCTCCCTCAGCCTATCGAGTGTCCTTTCCATCCAATACTCATCACCATCACTTGTATCGCTTGTCGGAGAGGAGGAGCGCGACGAAACTGATATAGACAATTGCGATAGAAATCTTCTCCCAGGACACGTGGGCAACGGCCGCGATTCCCGGTGCGTCTCGGCAGGTGCAGCGGTAAATAGTTGGAAGTAGATCTTTGAGAGTAGCATCTCCGGAGTCAACGAAGGCTGCTTATCGTAATCGAAGTAAAACGAGTCTTCAACCAAAGAAGTCTCTTTCCACCACCATCCTAGGTGTGCCATTAGCTTCGTTTTCCCTACACCAGGCACGCCGGTAAGATGTAAAATGTTGTTGTCAAGTAGCTGCTCTATTTTGAAAATATCGTACTCTCGTCCGAGAATTTCCTGATTCCCTGTCAGAACCTTGTCGGCAATAACCGCATCAGGTGATCGGATATGATCACTGGAGAGCAACCCCGGAAACTTGGACAAAAAGCATTTAGGGTCGGCGGTCCTTGAAGCAGCTGTGACGCCCGTGACCAGGTCGTTCCTGATGGCGGAAACTTCCGTCGTGCCGTTATGATAGAGCACCGGAACGATCCAGTCGTCAACAGGAACCATAACGCCGAACCGGCCCTCCCGCTTTTTAACACGCATCATCGCCCTCCTAGCCTCCGAGAGCGCCACAGCCAAATCCCATGTCCCCGCCAGGAAACATCGGTAGAGTGTTGACATAAGAACCTCAGCTCCGGTATTTAGTATCTTATTTGGCAAGGCTACGACCGCGCGTATGCCCTCTTGCACGAGGACCTCCGCAAAATTCGACGATACAATGCCAAAGGACTTTGCGGTTCTCGGAGCGTTGAGAATGACAAACTTTACTCCCTTTGAGACGAGTAAACTTGAGATCTCCCGCGCAGTCTTCCATGTCTGTTTTTGAGGACATCTTTCATCAACAAAAGACAGACTAACTTCGTCTTTATCTGTCAGCGCCTTCTGTCCCGTGGTGTTCCACTGCGGTACTCTAGTGACCCTGGTGTTGACATCGAAATGGACCAAGTGCCAGAAGCCTTTTCCCGTTTGACTCAGTTTTTCCCCAAGGGCTATCCAACTCGCGGGCCGTAGGACCTCCAGATAAACTGGTGCGCCACATTCAGCCTTTAGTCTCTCGACAAGATCGACTAACGGCCGACTAACAAGTCTCGGACTAGTAGTTTCCCCGCCAGAGGCGACCACAGAGATTGGGTGGGAAACAACCAGTAAAATCCTAAAAGCGTCACTGCCAACACCGCCAATCGGCCCCCTCACAAGTGGACCCGCACTAGGAACCCTCCGCCGAACGATGACACACGGCCGTATCCGTGTTGGCCAGACATCCGGATTCTCCAAAGCCTCCCAGTGAATCCCGTTCATACAATCCTCCTGCGTACCCCCCACTGAATTCCAGCCCCAACCCTCAATATCCACAAACCACTTCTTCCCATTTATGCCCTGCATCGATGCTTCGAGCATCACCCCTTCCGCTGATGTTTGTTTTTTCTTCGGTTTCGATAAAGATATTATTTCTGCAAGCCGTAGTTGATCCAGTAGACTCACGGAATAGCACCACAATTCCCTATTAATATCGGCTGCTTTTCGGTCTCCGAAGGGAGCGTTTTGGGCGTGCTCTTCTAGTGCCCATCGCAAACGGGTCTCCGATGTTGCATTGAAAGGATCCGTTAAAGTTCGTGTAATATTGTATGAACCGCAGGTTATCTGAATCGTCCATCTCCGAGTCCCTCGCGTCGTCGGCGGTAGCTGAGAGAGTTCTCGAACGTGGATTGTTCGTGATTGGGAAAGCGGTGATGAGCTATGCCCTTATCTTAGCACCACTATCCAAATCTAATCAAGAATGAATACTCACCATGCAGAAGGCGCAGCACGCCGTAGATGCGACATGTTGAGGTATGTTTCCTCAAGCTTTCTAAAGTGTGGGTAAAATCAGAGTTGGGTAAAGAGCGGTATATATATTCTTCACTGCGAATCCTTCATCCAAACGTGTGTAAAATTGGAGAAGGGAAGGGTCGGGAACAAAAGAATTATTGCTATCTGCTACTAAAGAATGAAATGGGAAGAGAAGAAAAAAATAATGACGATTTGACCCGGAATCTCAAACCCGCCGCACTCGAAAGAAACTCCCGTATTATATACTCGAGTATACCGACGCACCGCAGCCCATACCTGTGCACTTCCCACCCCACCCCAAAACCAACCTAACTTAGCCTTCAGATTCAAGAAGGCAATCCTTGCGCCATAAACTTACCCCAAGGTGGGAACTTATCTGCTGGGCCTTCCCCTCCTCCCACACTGCAGATTGCTCTGCCCGACAGGACTACCCTCGCCTCCGGTGCGAGACCGGCGGTAATGAATAAAAAACACTTTGCCGGGACGGAGATTTCCACCGGATCAATTGTTTTTACCCGTAGATACAAATGACGGGACTAGCAAGCGCCGTGCCTATGAAGAAGAAACTGATTCTATTGTAGAGTACCCTACGCGGGGACGTCATGATTCGCTGAGAAATAAAGGTGTTTGTTTGTGTGGATGGGCTGATAAAAAAGGATGAAGTGGGTGGGCCAGAGTGTTGTTTTGTTTGTTTGGTGCCTGGTTGGTTGCGGGAGAAGGGGTCAGGAATGGGTCAACCTTGTGGGGGCTATTTCTGCGCAGGGCTAGAGTACATAGAGTAATGGCATTGCGGTTCGTCTTTCTTTCTCCAACACGATGCCCCCGAACAGATCACTGTTACAATAATTGTTTCTCCCTCTCAGCATGGGGAGTCGAGGATGAACGAGCACCGGTAGTTTACCGGAAGAGTGCCCCTGCTCACATTAGCGAGATTTAGCTCAATCGTTCACATTACCTCTCGACATCTACTCGAGTATGCCAAGAGAAAGCTCGGTGAAAACTCCTTTCAGGTCCTGATGAAGGCTTTCACGTAGCGCGGTAAACTACAAGTACTAGTACAAGTACAATATTAAGAGCAAGGATAGGGGCTATAGGAACCTAAGCCCATGCAAGAAATTAGGACGAAAATCAAAACATTAGTCTAACGTGGGAAGGTTTGAGATTTGCCTTGGGGGGGGGCTAGAATGTCATTTTCTCTGTGCGGAGTTCACTGAGCCTTTTTGTTTGCAAGATAAAAACCTTCTACAACTACTTGTACTGTACAGTAATACCATTCATCCGAGCGAAATCCTTGCGGTCCCTCTAGCAACATAATATACGTGTACTTTACACGGCAAAGCAGAATCTCGCGGCTGCAAAGTTTTTATTTCTAGAGAGTAAGCTCCAAGGTTAGAAAGCTACACCCAACTATCTTGGTCCTGGCGCCTGTCTCTTATGCTACCTAACTTAGAGCACATCACAGCTTAGGGGCTCGTTGTTTTGCTTGGTCCAAAGCTCTAAATCGCCATAAACACCCAAAATTCTATTAGTAGAGTCTGATATTGTCACCCCCGGTCCCGCAGTAGTAATCCTTCCAACCCTACCGGTACTTCGCGTCGAACTGCAATCGGAGAATTTGTTGACTTTGGCACGGGCGCTCGAGCAATTCGAGCGTTGCAAAGGCTTCCGGAATGTAGAGTTTAGATTACCGTAGCGCCAACCCTGAAGGGACCTCCTGCTAGACGTGCCAAGTCTAATCTCCACACTTCTGGAAACTTTTGCCACGCGCAAGTACTGTTCAAGTCTCATGTTGTGAAGAAGATACTGTGCTGGACCATGCACTACCGACTTATAGGCGAGTATACCGCAACTGCTGTACTGTACTGCTAGTAGAACAGCCCGATCAGTTATCCCTCCAGGCTTGATCTCCATCAACGGCAACCTGCCTCTAATACGCAAGTAAGCAAAACCTTGCTAGCTCCATCTAGCATACCTAATAACCCCCTGTCGTGAGCTCTAGATTCTTCCTGTCTACAAATCCCAATCCTACAAACCTACAGTATGATAGCCTCTTCTCGCTGCTTGGACTCTGATTTTAAAGTTCACCGACAATATCATAGGACCACTCACGATTCC